TGGCTAGTATGTTGTCTATTTTGTAGAATGTTCCATGTACTGCTACAAATATGTAGTCTGCTGTTATTTGGTGGAGCATACAGTCAATCTCTATTAAATTAATTTGTTTGAGGGTTTGTTTTAACTCTAATAGTTCTTTGTTGAATTTGGTCTAATTGACCTGTTTGTGACAGTGGGGTTGCAAGTTCCCCCACTATTATTGTGTTTACATTTATCTGATATTTTACATCCAATACCACCTGTTTTATGTGGTTTTTTTTTTGTTGTTGTTGTTGTAGTATTCGTTGCATATTCTTTTACAGCTATTGTCTCTTCATTTTAAATTGTTTCCTTGGCCAGTATGTATTGGATGTCTTTGCCTTTTCTGATGAGTTTTGTCTTGAAGTCTATTTTGTATGAAAATAGGATAGTTACTCCCACTTATTTTCCATTTTCTGTCTCAAGGAATATTGCTTTCTATTGTTTGGATATCAATCTTTAAATTTCTTTTGTGTTAAATGTGTTTGTTGTATAATGAATATCACTGGGAAAAATAAGAACCAAGATACATCATGTGAAGGTACAAGTTCCCAATGATGAATATAAATGTATTGTATACCTAAAATGTACAAATAAACTTAATGAAAAAAAAGGAATACCATTGGATTTTTAAAAAATCTGTTCTGCTAGCATGTGTCTTTTGATTGGGTAACTGAAAACTTTACACTGAGAGTTGTTACTGAAAGTTATTGAGTTAATTCTCGCATTGCATTATTTTACTCTTGTTAATTCCCTTTTTATTCTCTTCTATTTAATTTCTCACCCTGTCTGGTGTACTCATTCTATTAGATATTTTGTCATTGTTAGAGTCATTGTCTCTTTCTTGTGTATCCTTGAACACTTTTGGAGTCCTGTTTTGTGATCATGAATTTCTTTAGGTGCTCTTTGCCATTGAAATACAATATTTCTGTATCAATTTAGAAATATAGTTTTGCAGGATATATCATTCTGAGTTGGAAATTGTTTACTTTTTATCATTACTAAACTTTATTGGTGCAATTTATATGTACAAAATGATCACATTCATCATATTGAATTTGTACCTGTGTGTGATATATATTGAATCTTATTTTTTCCATTCCCCTCCCTTTTACTCTTCTTCCCCTTCTTATTTACATTTTATCTTTCTTTTCTCATTTTTATCTTTTCCCTTCCTTCCCTCCCCTCTCCACTGTCCCTTGTGCTCCTTCCTATTTGAACATTTTCTTCCTATATCACAATATCTGTTATGCATTTTGGTCCCTATTTACACTTTCAGTTTTTCACTCTAGAAAAATAATGTGATATATGTACATATGTGTCTGATTATTTCACTAGAGTATGGTCTCTGCATGTATCCATTTACCTAGAAATGTCTCAAGTTTATCCTTTTGTATGGCTAAGTAGTACACCACTGTATAAAAAATAAACACATCTTCTTTATCCATTCATCAGTTGATGGGTATTTGTGTTGTTTCTAAGATTTAGCCATTATAAACTGTGCTAATATAAACATGGTTGTGCATATATTGCTGTGATATGATGTTTTTATTTTTTTGTGTAGATACTGAGAAGGATAAGCTAGGTCAAATGGAACCTCTAATCCTAGTTTTTTGAGGAATCTCCACACTGATTTCCATAGTGGTTGCATCCAGAGTAGAGAATGGTTCTTTTTTTTTTTCTTTCACAGCCCTGCCATACTATATTATTAGCTGATTTCTTGTTAATAGCCATTTTTTTTTCTGGTGTGACATACCCTGACCTAAAATAATACTACAGAGCTATGGTGATACAAACAGCATGGTACTGGCAAAACAAACAAACAAACAAACCCAACCCCGAGGAATAATGAAACAGAATAGAAGGTACAAAAATAACTCCAAATACACTCAGTCACTTTATCTTTGAAAAAGTATCAAAGACCTTCACTCAAAGAAAGATAGCCTCTTTCATAAGCAGTCCTGGAAAAACCATCTTTCCACATGCTTAAGACTACAACTAGACCCATGTCTCTGACCACACACTAAACTAAAATAAAAATGAATTGAAGATCTAAATATTGAAACAGAAACACTAAATATACTGGGAGAGAAATTAGGTGGAACACTTGAAGACAGATATAGGCAAAGATTTTATGAACAAAATTCCATTTGAAAGGAAATATTACAAGGAATCAATGACTATTATCTCATCTTATTAAAAAGCTTTTGCAAAGTCAAAAAAAAATCACCAACAGAGTAGGAAAAATATTTTACCAGCTGTTCTTCAGACAAAAGACTGATATCTAGAGTATATAAAGAACTGAAAAAATAAAACATCTCAAATTTAAAGATCCAAACTGAAAATGAGCATCTGAGATGAGTACCCAGTTTTCAGATGAAGTTCAAATGACAAATAAATATATGAAAAAATGTTCAACATCATCTCTCATGCAAGAGATGCAAATTTAAAGGATTGTTCCTTTAAGCCTTTAAACATGTCACTGCAAATTCTCCTTGCCTTTAAGTTTTGTTTGGAGAACACTGCTATAATTCAAATGAGCTTATCTTTATAAATGATTTATTCTTTTCTCTAACAGTCTGCAAGCTTGATCATTGTGTTGGACTTCTGGAACTTTAACTATGAAGTGTTGTGGAGTTCTTTTCTGATCATGGCTATTTTCATTTCTATATGTCTCATTTATTTATATGTTATATTCTGATATTTGTAGTTTTCTGCTATTATTTATGTAAGCAGTTTTTATGCAATTTATATTGTCTTCTGATTTTTTACTAATTCCAATTAATCTTAAATAAGACTTTATCATCTAGGAGGTGTTGATTTAGTTTTCATTGTTCTCCTGCTTTTTTAAAGATTTTTCTGAAGACATGGTTATCGGCATGGGCCTTATCTTCCAGTTCTGACACTCTGCCTTTTCATTGGTTGCTTCTTCTGCCCATACTTTCCATCAACTTTTTTTTTTTTGTACTGGGGATCAAACTCAGGACCTTGTGCTTGCAAGGCAGAACCACTGAGCTAAATCCCTGGCTTTCTATAGAATTTTTAATCTCCCCAATTTTTGTTTGATACCTTTTCACAAAATTCAATTCGTTGCTAAATTGTTCATTTCTCTTTAGTTTAGCTCAGACAACTTTTAATTTGTGTCTTTCATAAATTTACTGATTGTTTTATTAGATCCATAATATTCTCAGTTATATCTTTTTTGAATTTAGAAACCTTATTGGCCTGTTTATAATCTACTCTGCTATCCTTTTAAATAATTCTGATGTGTAGCTTTTGATTTCCTCCTCCTCAGTGCCTCATGAATCAGTTTTGGGCTAGTTAAGAGTTTTGGGAAGCATTTTTTTTTGCCTTGTCTTCTCTTGTTTTTTTGTTCATTGTTGTTGTTTAGTTTTGTACTGATGTTTGTGAGTTGATAATAGTGGAGAACTTTGTCGCTAGTATAGATACCTCTTTAGTTACTATCTGCTTTTCAGTAATTCACTCTGGTTATGAATATTTATAAGCTTTTACTTCTGTCCCAAGATTCAACTGCCTCATTTATTTGGGAGTGGAGGCTGCAATGTATTTATCCCAGTGTTCATTTTTCAGGGGTGGAACACAGTATTGTTAATGACACAAAGGCAATCTAAATATTAGCATACAGAGAAAACCAATTAATAGCAGCAACTGTGCTACCTTGGCAATAGCAACAGTAATAACATCAAATACAAACTGGATCTTGACTTACACTCAGAACCAATAATAAACCACACTTAACCATAAAAAAGACAACTATAATTATAGTATAGACACTAAAGTGAAACAAATATTGATATGCAGTATGTATGTAGCTATTATGAGCAACAACTATAGCTCCACTAACAATAGAACAGTATTCCACAGGAATAGCATTGAGTTAATTATCTACAAGTTTGTAAAACTTAATGGTCATAGTAATAAAGGTAGAGGGGTGAGGGATAAAGTAAAATTTAAAATATTAAACAATTAGGGCGAGAAGGAGGAAGGAAAGGTGAGATAAAGGATTCTATTGAAGTGTAAAGGAAATTAATAAAATTTAGATAAAAGTAACAAAGTAATAAACAAGATGAATAACAAAAAACATTTAGCAAAATAAAGGGAAAAAGAAAAATAAGGAACAGAAGTTAAAAGTAGATATCAGAAGAAAGAAAAAAAACTTTTAAATTCCCTAAAACCAGTAAAGAAAACAGAAAAAAATTAGTCCAAAAATATTTCTCTATATTTTTAAGTAAGTGCTTTCTTCCCATTCAGTCCTGGAATCCAGAAAGTTACAATGTTCTCTGCCTAGATGTATGACCTGTGAGTTTTTGAGGTTTTCCCCTACTGTATTCTCCCCAATCCATATACCCCAGACTGTGGCAACCGTCCAATTTTAAGTATGTCTTTGCTCACATTGTAGATGGGGAAAGCAATCAGACCAATGATCACTGCTAGCAATAGGCAGCCTTGTGGGGGTTCAAGCAGAGTGCTGGACTTAATGCCAGTGCTTTCAGATCCAACTGCTTCTGGAAACCATACACACAGGGCTTGGCATCTCATGTTAAATGGTGTGAGGACCATATCCTTCCTGGCCCGAGTTTAAACTTCTTAGTGAATCTATGTCTAGACTGTTCCCTCTCTGTGGCTGACTTTCATGGCTGTCTTTCACCTACTCACTGTGGGAAGATAGCACTGAAAGCTCTAAAGTGTACATGATGTGTAGTTTTTTTTCTGTAGTTCCATCTTAAACAATTAACCCTTTCCCAAAATGGTTCTTGACTAAATACTCTGGCAATATGTAGGCACTGCATTGTTTTCTTCTTTAACTGTAGCCTTCTATGATGAAACTACTTTCAGTATAAAACACTAGACTATTTTTGTAGTTTATAATAACTGTAAGATTTTCTTGGGGCCAGTAGTGCTGATCAGCCACATAATTTCCCCCAGACCTGTCAATACTTCATGGTTCCCTTCTTTTCCAGGGCATTTGCCTTATCCATGATCAGGACGGTTGCTTTGGTGATGTCTGTTTTGCTCCGTGACTGAGGGAAAGAAAACACGACTGGCTCAGAGATGGTGAGTGGTCTCAGTCAGCATGTGAAATCCACAGGTATGCGGTTATATTTACTATACTGTGCAATTTATCTGTATTATGTTTGTTGTTTATTTTTTATCTTTCAACACAACAATGTAACATCCACATGACAGGGATTTTGAATTTTTAGTACCTAGTACAGTGCTAGAACACAGTAGACTTCCAATAAATATTAGATGAAGTAATGAATATAGAAACACAAATTAAAACATGCTAAAGTGCTTAAGAGAGTTTTGTTTATGGTAGGCACATAAACAATAGTAATTTAATTTCTCTATTTTTTATTTTAAAAAGTTTTATTGAGATAACGCTCAACATGAGATCCACTGTATTGACACATTTTAAATGTACAATTTAGTGATTCTGACTATAGATACAGTATTATAATGTATAATGTGTGATTGAAAAATATGGTGACTTTTTAAATTATAAAAATCTTATTACAGTAAAATAAACACTTTCAAGAATGATGGTATAAGTATGTTTGAAGTGAAGAAAAGTATTTTGAGGAAGATTAATGGCAATATGTCTTTCACTATAATAATTTTTTATTTAAACATTCAATGTATGTTTGATCACCTCTCATTAAGCAATAATTTATGGAAATTTTTGATGAAATTATTTTTATGTGTTCTTATCCATTTTATTCATGAGATCTGGTACCCTGTGATCTCTGGCTTTTATCAAAGTTAAAATGACCATGAAAAGTAACTATTTTGAATCAATTCAATGAATTGAAGCAATCACGAAAGTGCAGCAAGAGTCTTTCATGAAAGAGCAATTTCAGACTGCTTTAGAAATTGGAAAGGCCGGGCATGGTGGTGCACACCTGTAATCCCAGCAGTCAGGAGGCTGAGGCAGGAGGATTGCTGTGAGTTCAAGACCAAGTTGAGCTACACAGTGAGTTCCAGGTCAGTCTCAACTACATAGTGAGACCCTGTCTCAAAAAAAAGAAAGAAATTGGAAATAAAGATGGGATATGTGTGTTCAAAGCCAGGTGAGGGTGCAGTTTCAATAAAATTAATGGCAATTAATTTTTTTCTGTAATGCAATTTTTAAATTTAAGGGCCCACTATATTTTTTGTTCACACCATGTACGTTCCTAGAAATTATCATGCTTAACTGATTTTTTATGCCTGTTGATTAGTTATTCTCCATTCCTCCTTTCCAGCCTGTGCTAACTATTCTTACACTGATTCCCTGATTTTGAGTATTTTAGATATATTCTACAAGTGGAATCATTCAGTATTTGTCTTTCTGTGACAGGATTCTTTCATGTAGAACAAAGTCAAAGTTCATCTATGTTGATGTATACTATAAAATTACAAGCTGAGTAATATTCCATTGTATTAATATACTATATAATGTTTGGATTAGTTTGATATATTAGCTGTTGTGAATAGCGCTGCAATGACCATGGGATTACTAAAATTTCTTTGAGATCCATATATTCGTTCTTCTGAAAAAATACCTGAAAGTGCGATTGCAGGGTCATGTATTAGTTCTTTCCTTTTTTGAGAAGGTTGGCTAAGAGTTTATTGATTTTATTTATCCTTTTAAAAAAGCAACTCTTTTATATGTTGAGTTTTTGTATCATTCTCTTAATCTTCATTGAATTGATTTCTGCTCTGATCTTTATAATTTCCTCCCTTGTACAAGCTTTGGGTTTTTCTTGCTCTTCTTTTTGTAGGAGCTTAAGATTCAGCATTAGGTTGTTTATTTGAGCCTGTTCAGTTTTCCTAGTGTGGGCATTCACTACTATGGATTTCCCTCACAGAACTGCTTTCATTGTGTCCCATAGATTCCTGTATGTTGCACTGGCATTATCATTTAGTTGTAAAAACTGTCTAATTTCTTCTTTAATTTCCTCTATGACTCATTGGCTCTTCTGGAGAGTGCTATGCAATTTCCACGTGTTGTGAAGTTCTTGCAGTTTCTTATGCTATTGATTTCCAGTTTAATTGCACTATGGTCTAATAATATACACGGGATAAGTTCAATTCCTTTTCATTTACTTAAATATGTTCTATGAGCTAGTATGTGGTGCATTTTGGAGAATGCTCCATGCACAGCCAAAAAGAATGTATATTCTGATTTTGTGGGTTGTAACACTCTGTAGACATCTATTAAGTCCATTTGTTCAGAAGCTTGGTTCAATTCTAGTATTTCATTGTTGATTTTTTTTGTCTAGATTATCTATTTGTAACAGTGTGATATTGAGGTCCCCCACTACAGTTGCACTAATGCTTATTTATTTTTTTCATGTTCCTTAATATTTGTTTTGTATAGCTCGGGGAATTAGTATTTCATGCATATATATATATATATTTATGATTGTCATCTCTTCCTCTTGGATTGCTCCCTTTACAAGGATGTAGCAAATGTCTGTGTCTCTCTTAGTTTCAGTTTGAGATTTACTTTGTTTGCAAATAAGATAGCTATCCCTGCTTTTTACAGGTTCCTGTTGCAAGGAGAACTGTCTTCTATCCTTTGATTTTTAGTCTATGAGTTTAGTTTTGAACTAGGTGTGTTTCTTGTATATAGCATATTGTTGGAGTTTGCTTCTTAATCCATTCTACCAGTCTATTTCTTTTGATTGGTGAATTGATGCCATTAATATTGATGATTATAACTGATATATATTGATTTATTGTCATGTTAGTGTCCTGTTGTTGGCTCTATTTTATCCCCCCCCTTTTTAATTTCTTGCGCCTTGCATAATGAATTTGCTCTGTTGGGCCTCACAGAGTTGTGACCTTCATTGTCTTTTTCTAGGATATTGTTTAGAATTGTCTTGAGTGCTGGTTTGGTATTCATAAAGTTTCTCAGATGTTCTTTGTCATGGGAAGTATTTTATTTCCCTGTCAATTTTTAAAGATAATTTTGCAGGATACATCTGTCTAGGTTGGAGGTTTTTTAATTTTTGGCCTTGAAATACCTTACTCCAGGCTCTCCTTGACTTGAGGGTTTGTATTAAAAAGTCTTCTGTGATTCTGATGGGCTTTCCTTTGCATGTGATTCATTTCTTTTCTCAAACTAATGTAATATTTTGTTCTTCTGTTGAGTTTCCTGGATCTTGATTGTTATATGTTTAGGTGTAGATTATTTTGATCATGGCTAGTTGAAGTCCTACAGGCCTTACTTATTTGTATGTCAAATTATTTTGCTCCTTTTAGGAATTTTTCTGTCATTAATTCTGTGAACAGTTTTATATGTCATTTGAACTTTCTCCTGCTTTTTCATGGACTCATATCAGTCTTATATTAGTCTTCTTTTTGTCATTTAGAACCTGTTTGATTGATTTCTCATGGTCCCTTACTATTTTTAATAGATCTTTTTCATGGTCACTGACTGCCATTTTGTCTTTATATCTGATATTCCATCTTCAGATTGTCTCAGTCTGTTGTGTATACTTTCAGTAGAAATTTTTTTTTCTTTTATTGAGTTTATTGGTACATTTTAGGTATGCAGTGCAGTTACATTCATTATTGGGATCTTGTACCTTTACATGACAAGTGGTCTTGGTTCTCATTTTTTCCCTTTGTCCCTGCCCTTCCTTCACTCCCTCCTCCCCTCCCCATTTACAAACACTTTATTTCCATTTTTTTTAATCTGCTGGATATCTGTTTGAATCTGTTTCATGGATTCCATTTCTTTATGATGTTGGGCATTCATGGATTGAATTTATTTCCTATGCTGGGCATTATCATAGTCCTGAACTCATCTACTTTTTTATTCATTTTTGTTCTAGAATCTCTAATGATGTCTTTCATTCTGATCTCCATCTCTGTAGTTATCTAGAAATTATTTCTGCTTCGTATTTTTCTAGAGCCTCATTCATCTCTTTTGTTACTTCATGTGCTGTGAATTCAGGGTGTCCAGATGCTTGTTTGTCAGACTTTTCCACATCATTTTCCCTAGAATTTTCCATTGGTTTGCTGGAAGTCTGTGTTTGTGCCTTGTATAAATGTCTTCTCAAGAAAAAAAGTCTTCTCATTTCTATTTTTGTTGTTTGTACTATACTTGGGTCCTTGGTGTAATTCTTGGGTTAATAATTTGATCTTCCAGATATAGCTGGTCTTTTGATTTTGAGTATCAAATGACTTGGAGACTGTCATTTTCATAATGCCAGGAAGGACAACTGATTAGATCAATCATAACACCTTATCCCAAGTGATACAATCAGCAACACAATAACATCAAGTACAGTTTAGAAAATAGTAATTTTTGGTAGTTATTAATCTTTCACCTATAACAGAGGGAATTAAGCCAAAATGAAAGGCCAGCCCAAAATATGTTTATAATGAATAAACTCTTCAATATAGAAACTTTACCCTTCAGTATGGAGACTTGGAAGTTGTGGAGAGGATAAATAGGTAGAAGGATAGCAGAAGGTTAGAAGTGAGGCCAGAGAACACAGGAAGATCATGCAAATTCTAAGAAACTGTTAAAAAGAAGAAGAAAATATAGAATGAAAGACCAAAGACAAGAGTAGAATAACCTAACCACAATAGGCAAGTGAGAAACTATAGTCACTTTCCTTTGAAAGTAATGACAATTCAGAGAAGGAAAGAGAGAGAAGAAAAGAAAAAGAAAGAAGAAATCTGAATTAGGGCAGGAAAAGGAACAAAAAGGGAGCTGAAGAACTATGTGGAGAGTAAGAGAGTGAGTGAGAGAGTGAAAGAAAAGAGAAAAGAAGAAAAAAGAAAAAAGGAAGAATTTCAAAAGAATAGAAAAATTAAAATTAAAAATTTAAATTAAAAATTAAACATAAGAGGAAAATTAAAAAAAAATTTTAAAAATAAAAACTTAAAATTAAGGGCTTCCTTCAGGGTATGTCCCTGCTGTCATAATGGACAATTTGGGCAGAAGTGTTCAGATCTAATTCAATTAGTCTCAGCAAGCCAGCAGCAAACCCGAGATTCAGGCTGATTTCTGGCTGAAGGCCCAGGTTGAGCTCCCTGACCTCCTTCAGGGTTGA